GGCAATGTTGTTGCTTCTCTTATGGCAGCCAGCTCCTTTCTACTGTTCAGTGTTCCCTGGGGCTGATTTTGATTGGCTGGTCCCAAAGTTTTCCTTAAGGTGCATATCCTCTGTGTGACTTTCCCTGCAGCTAGCTCACCAAAGGGCTATAAAATAAATAGAGTTTGCAATCTTTAGTGTTTGCATGAACCATTGCTTTTGCTAGTCTTTGAGGGCTGGCTTTTAAATTCCATCTGTAACTCCTATTTAAACTCTGTTACCCATCAAACACAAAGTACTTTTGTTGGAATCTGTATAACTGGCTTGATTATCTAGGTTAGTTGGTTATGTAGATGGAATGGCTTTTTTTGATGTTGAGTGTTGAGTTTAACCCTCTTCATTCACAATTGGACCTGAACTTTTGCTTACAAAATGTCGCAGGTGTATTCCAAAGCTTATTGTATTTTGACCAAGAGTGACTGCTAATCAAATCTTTTATTCCCTAGAAAGCACATCTTGCATCTACACATTGAAGATTTATTAGGAGGGTGTTTAAGGAAAAGAAGGATGTAGAGGCATAAGTTCAATTCATTGCAATTTCACTGGAAGCCTCAGCTGATCCTTTGGGGACTCCTGAAGATAAAATGAGCCAGCTGTCCCAAATGACACTGAGGTAGCTAGAGTTTTATAATCCCACGTCGGTAACTGAGTGAAGGCTGTGTGTGTGAGGGTAACCTTGGTCTAGGTGGCTGTCATCATCTGTGACCATACTCCAAGGGGGCTAAGTGCTGGGGGGACTTTTGCCAGCTGCGCTTCTAATATTTGAATTAATTCTTGATGGGGATCTTAATGCATCATGGTATGACCCTGCTTCCTTTCAAAAGCACAAATAGAGTTCTCATATTATTGAATTCTTAAAAATATTAATATGCAGAGAACCAGTTAGGAAAGTGTTACAAGGCAGAAGTGCCTAGGGCCTATGGAAGTCAATGCATACTTGAAAGATAGAGCTGCTTCTGTATTTTCTGTTATGTGACACAATGAATGTTTCCATTATTTAAGTCACTATTAGTCAAAATTCTATTGCTTGTAATTCACAGTATCCCTAGTAAATAGAACTGAACCACTGCAGCCCAACAATTCAGTGACAGAATTAACCAAAAATCAACCATTGACCTTCAATGAGGTGATGAAGAAAGCCTTCTCTGAGGAGCTATTTGGACTGAAATCTGAGCTAGCAGATGAGGGCAGGATATGAGACAACCATTCTGGCAGGAAGAGGAGCAGCTATAAAAACCCCAGGGCAGAAGTGAGCTTGGCAGGTTCAACAACAGTCTGCAAAGGTTGACTGGGGCAGGTGATGTTTGCTCATAAATGTCTTATATTGAAAGGAACTGGGTGAAGATCTTTATGATGTTTTCAACTGAAGGTCAGGTCTTTGGAAAAAGTCAGGGTCTAAATGTGGAAATACAGGACCAGAGAAGAAGGCTACAGTATATGTATATTCCAGGACACAACTTGACTTGCGAGCTCACGGCATAAGATGTTTCAGATGTTCCCGTAGTACTGGTATGCTTCGATACTGTTGAACAGACAATGTTCTTCTCATAATGTACAAGGAGCCCCCCTCTCCAATGTGGTAATATAATTAATAACATTTTAAATGGGAAAGATAAAAGTAATAAGAAAAATTATCAAATAACTTGTTATGCCTCAGGAAAAACAATTTTGTAAGACCTTGCCTGTGACTGGAGGAAGACAGCAGGCAGATAAATCTGTTAGAATAAGACTTCCTGTAAGTGTGTGCATGTACGTGTGTGCCCTTGTGTAAATTTATACAGGAAGACAGCGTAGCCCTCAGCATCATATAACTGGATTAAATGACAGCAGGCTGCATCTTTCTTTTAGGAATAGGCCTGGTGTAGTGAAAGCGGGATAACATTGCATACGAATACGTTGCTGGAAAAATCTGTCTTCAGCAAAATTGCTAGAAAGTTGTTGAAAAAGGTTATAAAAATTTGCTTCCATCTTTACGTTCACGTGGCTAAGAGAGGAAACTACTGAAAGAAAAAACGGTGAGATTCCATGGAATAGGACTTTCAGAAATGATGATTTAAAGGTAATAGGACACTGTCAGCCATGTATCTGTCCTGCACAGCATCAGTGATGCGTTTGCAAGCACACAGTATTTGCTGACCTGCTGCTTATAATCACCGAGAAATAGCAGAGGTCAGGAGATAGTAATGCCATCCAGGGTTCAAAGTAAGAGACAGAAGCATTTCAGAAGGCAGAATCTAATACAGTAAACCAACAACCACTGGAAGGTTTTTGGAAGCTTGGCGCTGGCCCTGCTGGAAGGCCTTGCAGACCCTGGAGAGCTGAATCCCCAGAGAGCTGTGAGCTCTGTGAGCACCCTACAGCCCCACGGAGTTTGCAGAGCACAGACCCTAGCTGAGCTTGGAGTCCTGGAGCTGGATCAGGCCCTTGTTGCTGCTTGTCACTTCTTAATCCTGTGACACATGAGCATTGGAACCTGGAGTCACTGCTCCTTCTGCTTTAGCACCTCCTCTCAGCTGGGAAGCAGGAGAACCAGTTACACGGGTCCCCTAGACTCAGCTTGGCAGCCAGGAACGGTCAGAAGATGCCCACCTTGGGGCTGGGGATTTAGCTCAGCAGCATAAGCGCCTGTCTTGCAAGCAGGCAGTTGTGAGTTCAATCCCCGGTACCGATTGCCCACCTCCTCTACTCTGCCTTGTCTACCTCTCCTGGGACAGGGCAGGACCTCAGTAGAGTCACCAAACTAGGTGAACCTTAGCTCAGGGATTGCACACGGATTTCTGTAATCTCTGTTGAAAGGGAAGGAACCCTACTGTCCAGGAGGGTGTCAGGGGTCAAGTGATGTTCAGTGAGCAAAATTCCACACGACTGTAGGCAATGTTCTTATTTCTTTAGAGGGAAGAAAATTTACTTGCAAGAAGCACCTACCAAGCCTGATGTTTGCTGGAAAAAGATACTGAGTGAACTATTAGGAAAATATGCACAGATAACTGGGAATAAAAGTTCATTAAACACAAATGCTACGAGGCTGCCTACTAAAGTGGGAAGTGAGAGAACCATATGGTTATAATCTATCTAGATTTGAACTAGGCTTTTTCCTCAGCTTTCTTGATATTATGAGACCAACTTGAGCAATATGGTCAAGACGGTGGCACAGTTGAATGTATTTGTAATTAGTAGAAAGTCTAGATATTCCTGATTAAGAGGCACATGTCAAATGGTTGCATATGCCATCAGAATTGGTATTTTATCACATCCTGCCTTACACAAACCCAAGGACATTTATTTTTAAAAGATATCTTACATATAAAAGTCAGATGTTGATATATTAAATTATGATAAATACAACAGTCAAGCTGACCAAAGATGGGCAATATTTTTGCATATGACATTATTAGAGAGACCCTGGTAAGCAGAATGCTGACCACAAAAGACAGGATGAGCCCAGCAGACTCCAATAAGAAAGTTAACCATCTGCAGCCTCTGATCATCATTGTGGGGGCACCTGTCTGCCTGGCTGCTGGAGTTTGATTTCTGTATTTACAAACCCATTCTTGCCTTTATGTCTTACTTATGAGAAACAAGTTACTAGAATGTTTCTTTTACCTGTGCTGCATTGGTGGGTTAAAATGAATAAACATTAGGACAGAACGTCAGTGATGACACATGTAATGTAACAGCAGCCCGAGTGTTTAAGAGATGGTATTTTTAACTAACATAGGTTCACTGTGGTGCATCATGTATGATGTTATCAGGACGCCAGGTCAGCCCTTCTGCTACTGGGAATCGAACTAGAGCTTGCCAGGCAGGTGCTGCACTGCTGAGCTATGTCCCTGGTCCAAACTACTTTGCTCTCAGTGAGGCTCTGCTTTTTGAGGTACATACGCAGAGATGAATGAAATTTTGGTAGAGATATTTTAGAGAGAAGTGGATATTAAATGGAGGTGTGGTCCAGATGGACACTAAGACTTATCCTGTGAACCTGTCTGATGATATAGCACAGTAATTTCCCCACGTTTTGTGTTGTGGTTCAGTAGCATGAGCCTTAAATGGTGAAGTGTTACTCCCAGTCCAACAGATCCCTCGTAGGAGAGCCTGACTTCTGCCTTTTTTGTAGAAACAGACAAAACGCAGCAAAACTCAAAGCTGTGGGCACAGGAGACAGTTTTGAATACATTGTGAGCTGTAGTAGCGAGAAGAGCCCTTTACTCCCCGGTGTGATCTCCAGCCCATGTGCTCCAAGCCCGTGTGTTCCCAGGATGAAAGAAACTGAGCATATGTTTGCATTATTTTCTCACAGTACGGTAAATTATTCTCAGACAGTTTGAAAGCATCAAATGTAATTGGCATTTATTTCTGCCTTCGTATTTCAGTGAAGTTATTTGTGGCTTTGAAAGCTCTGTTACATCCTTATTTTGGGTTTTGTTATTGTTAACGAGCCCATTTTGTTATCCACCAACCAGTGCTTCCATGGCAGTTAGTAACACACCTTAAACACTGGCTCCTGTGATCAAGAAAAAACATGACTGTCCACTTAAAATAATTGGAGAGCCCATGGACTTGCTATCCAAAGAATACTTAAGTGCTATTTATTAATAACAACCCGGAAACAACCCGGAGATGAGATGACGATGTAGTCACAGAGCCTGTGGGAAATTTAAGCACTTTTCTTCCTTCTCTCCCCACAGCCAACCTGCTAATGCAGGTGTGCACTGTATTCTTAGTAAGATAACACCCTTCCTTCCTCTCTCCTTCCTCTTTTCTCCCCCTCCTTCTTCCACCAGTAGCTCACATCTTTACTTAAGACCATTGTCACGTACCAGAGACAATGGTAGCTGAGTAGGATGCCAACGTAGCATCTTCTTCACCAGCCCTTTGCTAGGTGGGTGGGAGTTCTAGGGAATCTTCCGCTCTTCATTCTGGATCATTCTGGATCATTCTGGATCTCTCTTGAATCTCCGCAGTGCTGCCTATGATGCCGTCCTGGACAGAAATGTGGCCATTAAGAAACTCAGCAGACCCTTTCAGAACCAAACACATGCCAAGAGAGCCTACCGGGAGCTAGTCCTCATGAAGTGTGTGAACCACAAAAACGTGAGTTTCCTTGTTAGTTCGAAGCCTCTGGCAGTGGGGAACTGTGAGGTTAAGCCATGAAAATAAATGACAACTTGCGTAGGAAAGACTTTCTTTACTTTGCAGTTTCTGCCTCTTAAGGTTGTTTATCCTGCCCATATGCTATATGTGATTTCATTGTCCTCATAGTAGCTTCCTGCTTAAAGATCATTAAAAAGCCATATGGCACAGAAATAAATTTGATAAGACATGTCTCTGTTACATAATTAACCTTATTTGGTTATCTTGATCCTATTAACAGGAGACTTCATGCTTTTCAAAGCAAACAAACAAATCCTCCCTCCTAGTCTCCCCCAACAAAACCTAGAAAAACTATATATAGCAATATACCATATTTATTTATAATCTAAAGTATTAACAGATGGAGATTTTTATCCACTGTGTCATTTCCTTTGTGCTTTAGCTGTAGTCTGGCAGGGCCCTCACACTAACTGCTCAGGGTAAGCCCTGTGCCTTGGTGTCTTGGATTTTGGGGGGTCAGGCAGGCAAGGTCAAGGTTGTGCACAATGTGCAAAGCAATTCAGAGTGGATCACTGGGAGCATTTTCCCACTGAGCTCAGGCGAGATTGGAACAGACTCTTCATTTCACAGTCTTAGCTCCCTACGTCAAGCAGAGGTCTCTACAATGTGTCCCAAGCACAATTTCTCCTTAGTGAGGAGAAGTACGCGACAACTCCTTTTTCTTATAAGAAGTATTTTAACAATTAATTAGAACAGATTTATTAAGTATGTTTTGTTTACATTTATGGATATAATAAAAATAAATTATAAGTAAAATTGAACAATAATAGCCATCACAACTCCCTAGAAATTTCTTATGCATAAAATCATCAAATATATGACATTTTATAAACAAGGTTTTTTGTCTACCAGTGGCACCAAAAAGACACAAATGCATGAGTGTTTGGCTGAAAGATATTTAAAGTATAAAGAAGTAGATCGGACCACTGACAGTGTTTCTCTTTTTTTTACTGTATACTCTACTCCAGTGACTTTTAAATCAGATTTTTTCATGTTGTTGAGTTTTTGTGGGACCACTGACATTTTAATTTAGTCATCTGTCACGCCCCACACTAATGATACCTAAAAAGGAGTTCCAGACTGCAGTGATAATTTATAACAGTGTCTTACCTGTACTGTCCTTTCCCGTGTGCATATGATAACACAGGTGTGCATGTCTGTCTACAAAAATACACTTTTTTAATAGAGAGGCGCTTCCCTTATACCTGGCTGTTAAATCATACTTTAGTATTTGATTTATTAAGAAAAAGCAGTTGTAATATAGAACTCTGTTAACACTGCTGAAAATATAGAGGAACATAGAAGAATCCTGTAAAATCTTTAACAATAGTGAAGAAGACTGATTAGAAAGTGATCACTCACTTGCAAGGTAGGGTACCGGGAGTGGCTGTGAGGATGTGGTCACACTGACTCACACAGGGGCCTCCTAAGACACAGGGTCAAACTCCTGCTGGAAACTGGGACTGGAATTGAAACACCTGTGACGAGCTCTTCTTAAAGATAAGCTGTTGAGTTGCTTATGAATAGGAATTAAGATTTACGAGGGTACCAAGAATGGAGAGCAGAGAAAATCTAAAAGGGAACTCAGAGAAGATAGGTTTACAGAACAAGAGTGTAGAAAAGCGGGAGAATAAGGGTAGACAATGGGGAACAGAGCTTGAAAAATCACCTTGTAGACATCTAGATGGACCTAAAGTTCTCATGCTGCTTTCCACACTGAGTTAGATGAGTTACATTATTTGTTTACCGGATGGTGGGGGTACACACTTTTCTTTCTTGGAGGAGTGCTTGCATAAATGTGTGCCCTGGGTCCTCTCCAATGGGTTTTGTGCAAATAAAAATGGAAGTGGTAAAGTGCTTGATAACAGACTCACCATAGACAAATGAAAGTTGTATTATACCAGCGTTTGCAACTCCTACCACAACTAGCCATACTGGATATCAACTACTTTAATTACAAATTTTAAAGAAATTTTGAAACAATTGCTGATTTACGTCTTTATTTCATACTGTTGCTTTATAATTTTGAGTTTTTAATATAATTAGAACCATTACCATATATATTTATACTAGAAAAAAATCAAATGGTTGTGATATTTTTCCCAGTTTCTTAAGAAATGACAAAAGTTGCATAGAAATGATTGCATTTCTCTGGTATTTGAAATAGTGTTGTTTTTAAGTACTTCATGTATTTCTGTGCTACTTACAGAATTTACTAAAATCCACTGATTGACATTTTGAAGCTATTTAAATCTTGAATTTGTATTTATCCCATTTTTGTAACATAAGTGCAATCAACTTGTAAGTATAAAGTTGTTATCTGCATATTTTATTTTCATTTTTGACTGGCACATTAACAGAATATTTAGGTAGAAGAACACTTTGAACTATTTATGTATGTAATTCATGTGAACCCAGGATAAAGGACTTTTTAAAGATATACTCTTGATTTCCAGTAATATATATATATATATATATATATATATATATATATATAGAGAGAGAGAGAGAGAGAGAGAGAGAGAGAGAGAGAGAGACTCATTCAAGAAGATAAATGAGAAGGTGAATTTCTTTGTTGTCTAATGAACAAAATATTAAGGCAAGGAACAAAAACTTCAGAACTGATTTCAGGTACCTTTTAAATATACTTTCCACTAAATTCAGCCTTAATTACCTACAGTGTAATCCCCCCCCCCCCGCACACACACACAGCATTAGAGCATTAGTTTAAGAATATTTAGTGAGACAGAAGTAAAAGAAACTATGGTAGCAGCACAAAAACCATTTTGAACCAGATGGCAAGAGGAGAACACGTCTGTGCACTTCCCAGGCTGCTGTCTCTGCTTGTGTGGTTTTGTCTCCCTTCCTTTAATCACCTGTGGGGCTGCATTCCACCAGGAAGAATCACATTAACGAGTATCCGTCTTCTCTGGCTCTTCCTGCTGGCTGGAAACATGAGCTTTACAACTACATCACTAACCTGGAAACAGATCATAATACCTTTCTGAGTATACTTTTCTATATTTTGTGAGACAATCTAGAAAGTTTTCTCAACTTTTGTATTCCTACCAAAGCTCTAGTGAGTGACTTTCATTTGCAATATGCTTAAATATGATTTTTACATAGCTCACTCTCTTTCTCTCTTTCTTTCTTTCCTCTGTGCCTTCCTGCATTCTTGCAGATTATTAGCTTATTAAATGTCTTCACACCCCAGAAAACGCTGGAGGAGTTCCAGGATGTGTAAGTAACTAACTCATGAGAAGGGCGAGCCAGAACTCATGTAATTCAAGGGAAAGTTACAACAAAATGAAAAGATAGATGAGGCACAACCTTGTAGCGATCAAATGGGAGATAAGAGCTGGGACCAAGTGACCCTGCTGGCAGTGAAAATCTTTAAAATCACTGCTTCTTCCTGGCCTCTGGGTTCCATGTGTTTTGTGGTTCAGTGCTCAGGAAGGCTTGTTTGTATTGTTTTCTTAATTATTGTTAATTAATTCCATGCCCCTTCTCAGATGAGTCAGTTTATTTTGAGAAATGTGAATACAGGGGAAATGATCAAATTGTCTCTTATTTCCATTGTGTGCCATCTTTAATTCTGAGCAAAGAGAATCTACCTAGAAATAGAGCTCCCTAGAGAGGAGAGCGAGCTGCATGTGGTCAGCATTGCTTTAGTGGAAGTAGCTAACCTGAATACTTCTTTAATTTGTGATCAAACTATTCAAGAAAATGTTAAGGGACTACAAGGAGAAGCAAGAACAAATGGAAGTAAGAATATACAGGCGGAATCACACATTAATCAGTAGTGCTTCTGCCAGCAGCAGCTAACGCATGGGGTCTGCAGTTTCCATGCTCTGGCTCTGTCCATGCAGAGCTGGGAAGTTCAGAAAACTGGCAGATCTAGAAGAGAATTCTAGTGTGGCTGAAAAATTTCACTAGTCGTGATCTGGAACTGACACTGTGGATTTATTTCCTAGTTACTTAGTAATGGAACTGATGGATGCCAACCTGTGTCAGGTGATTCAGATGGAGCTGGACCATGAACGGATGTCTTACCTGCTGTACCAGATGTTGTGTGGCATCAAACATCTGCACTCCGCTGGAATTATTCACAGGGTGAGGACACTTCCTATGGAGTTACAGCTAAGAGTCTTTTGGAGCAGAGAAAGAACAGCTGTAGTTCTTTTCTTTTAAATAGGGGGATTTGTTCAAATAAAATGCACTTCCTCATTTCTTTGATAACAGAATTAGCATATAGTTCACTCATGTGTAGCAGGAACTTCTATCCAAACTGTGGTGGACTCTCGGTGACGTTATGTTTCAGTTCTGAGGGACCTCATGCTTTCTCGCTTCTTGACGGGGCAGGAGGAATAAGGCAGATCTAGCAGAATAAAGACAACTGCTTCTCTTCTGTCAGGTCTGGAAGCAAAATACACACTGAGAAGTTACATTACCCTAAGGAGAAACCTGAGATGAAAATACATGATATATTGTTTTATTTTTCTTTTAAACTTCTTCTCAAGATGACCCTAAGTTGTGAAATGATAGTACTGTTCTCTTAGGGATTTGAACATTTTTCTGAAGCTAGTTTTTAAAAGCCCCAAATGAGTTGTTAATTTCTTGGTGGTGCTGATCCTACACCACCAAGCTTGTGTTGGCTTTGCTACATAGATTGGGTAGATGGGATTCCAGGGTTCCATAGGACACAGGCTTTCAGCGTCCTCTTGTGTTCTCGTTGTCAGGACTTAAAGCCAAGTAACATTGTAGTCAAGTCTGATTGCACACTGAAAATCCTGGACTTCGGGCTGGCCAGGACAGCGGGCACCAGCTTCATGATGACGCCATATGTGGTGACCCGTTACTACAGAGCCCCCGAGGTCATCCTGGGAATGGGCTACAAGGAGAACGGTAGGTGGGGAGCTCCTGAAACTGGACAGAAACACGCACACAACTACACAGCTGGAAGAATGTTGTCTTCCATAAATACGAATTTCTCAAAGACAGAGATGCCAGGTTTCATATTCAAAGTTCGTTTCTGCTTCTTAAGCAGCACTATGAGGAAAAGTCACTCATTAGAAATGTGAAGGGTGTTTCTGAGAAATAAACTTTGGCAGAAGAATGCTAAAATGTTACAGCTAAGGAGAAGTAAATGGAGTCTGATGAAACAGGTGAGCGGTACCGATTAGCATGAATGCTACCGACAGTGAGGAAAATGCTATTTGCGTTGCAGCTTGGGTAAGAGTGTTTGTGCATAGGGGAAGACCTCTCCTCCACTTCCCCATCTGGCTCTCACAGCGTGGCTCCTGTCCTAGGGAGAGACCACCTGGAGATGCCTCGTAGGCACTCCACGGACAGTTCAGTAGAATAACTCATGTTGCTCAAATTGGATAAGAAGTTTGTTCATACTTTAAAGTGCTCTGTAAGGAATACTTAGGGTCTCAATTGCACAATAAAAGTTTCACAACCATAGAAAGGAAAACATTAAATTTTGCATTACCAATTCATAAAGTTAGTTGAGTATACACAAAAATTTTAAAGAATGGCTGGGTATGGTGGTTGCACACCTGTAATCTCAGCACTTGGGAGGCTGAGGCAGGAGGATCACTGTGAGTTTGAGGCCAACGTGAGTTACAAAGTGAGTTCAAAGCCACCTGAGCCTACATAGTGAGACCCTGTCTCAAAAATACAGGGAAAAAAAGGGTTTATTCAAATGTATTCAAATTGGATTTTGATTGAATAAAATGGAGAATTTATAAACTACTACTTGCTAGAAAGCCTTGAAATATGGGGATTCTGCCCAGAATCTGTCTTATATGTAATGTAACATGTTAAACAGATCTCATATCTTTAGAAATAAAAGTAGTTTTAAATTAGGACTGTGTATGTCTATCCAGTGTATCTTTCATATTTGCTTTTTATATTGTTTACCTCCAAGTAGTCTATTTTTATATGTTTTATAAAAATGATTACCATTGCATTTTTTACATACACATGATACAGGATAATTTATAAAAATTTCCTAGTCACTGAAGACAGTCAGTATTTTTATACATTTATATGGAGGAAGGAGAAAATCAGCTTTCAGAAGGACAAATTCACACACAGACACAAAAAGCTAGGTATGGTGATACATGCCTGTAATCCAAGTGCTCTGAAGACTGAGGCAGGAGGATTTCTGTGAGTTCAGGGCCAGCCTGGGCTACATAGTGAGTTCAAGGCCATCCTGCCTGAATATATAGAAAGACTCTGCCTGAGAAAAAAGGAAAGGAAGGAAGGGAAGAAAGAAAGAGAAGGGAAGAAGGAAGGAAGGAAGGAAGGAAGGAAGGAAGGAAGGAAGGAAGGAAGGAAGGAAGGAAGGGGGGAGAGCGGATGGCAGGGAGGGAGAGTTCCCTTGGTGGCCAGTGCGAGGTGAACACAGCCTGCTGCTGAGGAACTCTGGGTCGCAGGTGCTCTTCAAAGTTACTTCTTGAAAACCAGAGAGGACTGATCGGAGGAAAGTCAAGAACTAAGGGCTGCTGCGGAAAATAGTTTACTGTACCCGTCAAGAGCGCAGGATCAGGGAGTTCGGCGTGGCACGGTGGAGGTCTGCGGTGACCTCGTGCTGACTGCCCTGACTCCCACCGACTGTGCCCCACGGTGTGGTTACTTGTGTCAGTTAAGGGACAGGAATGAACGGTTAAGGGGGCAGGGCTCTGCTTTGGCCCCTGCCGGCTCTTTAGCCTCCGCCCCAGGGTGCAAACACTCCAACCCTCCTCCTCCCCGTGCAAGCCGTGCAAGCCGCTGCCTGCCTGTTTTGTTTGGCTTCAGGGCGCCTGGGGAAGAAGGTGACGCAGACTCCCGCTTGCTGCCCGGGCATGCCCACGTCCCTGCACCGCGCCCCTCCTCCCCACAGAGCCTTGCAGCCTCCTGGTGCCCCAGGTCCCCGTTGTCCGCAAGGAAAGGCACGTTGGGAGCGGATAGAGAAGGCGAGGCGGGTTGTTCAGCCAGGACGGCAAGCTGGAGGAAAAGTGGGGTGCGCCTGTGTGCTCCCCGCATTTTAGCTCCTTGGGCAGCCTTTTTTCACTTTGCCTCTGGATGATGGCCTTACGCACGTGCCAGTTTATCACACGTTTTCTCTAAATATTTCAAATAGAAGTTAAAACACATAATTCATTGAGAAGGATCACCCTTGAGGGGTAAGTCTGAATACTGGGAATTCCAGTCCTGTACGTGGAAAGCAAGGTTCCAGCCAATTCCTGGTTTGGGGGCGGGCTGAAGATGCCCTTAATTCGCGCACGCGCGCGCGCGCACACACACACACACACACACACACACACACACGCACACGCACACGCACACACACACCCACACACGCACGCACGCACACAGAGTACTTTTTTTGTCCTAACATTGCATACTGAACAGGATGGAAACCAGAAGCTGTCGCCCTTACAGTGATAGGCTATTGTTTTACATCTGACAAATCGTATTAAAGACACTCCAGGTGGCCTCTTGCTTCCACCATCACAGAGATACTTTTGTGGGCTACTTTTTTCCCATGCCATCCTGTGGTGTTTGGAGGGCACTCTTAGGCCTCTATACTGTAAGGCTTTTTAAAAAGACATTAATTAGTGTTCCTCCACTTGACACTGTTTACCTAAAGCACGGTGATGGTTTCTATCATCTGATGGCCACCTTGGTGGGAGGTGAAATGTACTTTCTACTCACACTGTTCTTTTTCCTCCGCCTTCGATGTCACTGTCCTAGCTAACTTTGCTTCCCTCCTGTTTCTCCCTCTCCCTCCCGCTCCTGTTCCAGTGGATATATGGTCTGTGGGATGCATTATGGGAGAAATGGTTCGCCACAAAATCCTCTTTCCGGGAAGGGACTGTATCCTTGTACCTTTTGCCAGAGCTTTTCCTGTTTTGTTTTCTCTCCCTTTAAACGCGTAATGATTTTTGCCAGGAGAGTAAAGATAGAAGCAAAAAGTTGGGTAAGTGATGCGATTGTTATTAAAAGTGATAATTCCCGTGACCTGACCAGCATGGCAGATCAGCTACCACAGTGATTTCCTGTGATTACATTTTCAATGTGATTTTTCTTAAATTACTTTATTTTCTCTAACTCAAAATAGCAATGCTATTTTATTCGTAAATAGCAAAGGCCACTAGATCCCAAATAATTAGAATATAATTATCTCTATCCTTAGTCAGAGAAGCCACCATACACACATTGTTTTTCGTCTTCTTCAGAAAACCATTTTATGCTTCTACAAGATTTATGCATAATGATTTCTCTCCTTGCTGACATCCTAAGCTTCTGTCTGTGGCTTCACTGACTGGAATTACTCTTGAAGATATATGCTGCAGTATTGAATAGGCCAATATGTCATATCCTCCTCAAACCCTGAATTTTCATATTTAAAATTCCTTATCACTATTCAGATGAGTTGAAAATAGGCTTACCTCTTTTGACTTCAAGACATGTCACATAAGTAGAGAATGCCTTTTCCAACCAAATTTAGAATTTTACTAATCCGTGCAGATTTGAATTCTACCTGGGTCCTATGATAGGTTCCATCAGGAGTTTCTTAGACAGTTATTTATGAGTTGGAATTATTAGATAAATGGGAATGATTCTTAAATGACCAACACTCTATTAAAGGTACACATCTGTGTTTATAATGTATAGGGATCAAGTTTACACAGAGGGAAAAATACACATTTAAAGCAGAAGTAGCTTGCTAACAAATCTAAGACCTTGGTCACTGACAGTTTTAGCAATGATAATCAAGAGCAAACTCAGCATATTTATTACACATTAATATGTTGGAAATTGACAATAAAAAATTGCAATGCATAATTCTGTTAACCTTTCTGTGTGATTAGGAAAACTCCATCGAGGAAACTTTATTATATAAGAACTATAATTTTTATTTCAGTATGAAAATGGGTCAGTGGTACAGAAACCTAAATGAAAAAATTGATATCACCATGAATATGGACTCATATAGATGTCTATTTATTCTGCTGAACATTAATGAAACAGCATCTAAGTTCCAGTAAATGCAGTGGTATCTTCCAGCCCTGCCCCAGTCAGCAGCGGGCCACCAGACACATTTCTCTTTGGCAACTGAAATTATGATCTGAAAGCACATGTGTGGTACCTGTAAAATGCATACCACTTACTGAAGATGAAAAAAGCATACAAAATCTATCATCAATAATTTTAAAGTTGTAGGTATTAAAGGAACAAAATTTTGAGCATGTTGGGCTAAATTACATATTTCATTAAAATTAATCTTGCCTGTTTGTTAATTTTTTTAAAAGAGAATCTGAGTAATCTTAAAATCACATGGACAACTTGCAGTTGTGACTGTTACTTTTCTCTGCTGGATAGCTGTACTCGAGAACACGGGATACCATTGTTGTAGCCTTTTATTTACCACCCATCTTAACATTTTAAATCATCATCTTCTTCCTGTTTCTTTATCTATAGTGTAAATATTGTTTTCACTATCAGACCATCACTTGGAAAAACTTCATTTTAGTTCACATTGTTCATTTATCATTTGGAGGTGTATTCCATAGTCTACATAATTGATCTTCTGAACAATAATGTAATTCACATTCATGCTTAAATTAACTGCTCTCATTCAAACGTAGGAATTGTTTTCCTTGTATTTTTGACTTAGGGGCATAACATATCTCAAACAAAGGTAAAGGACCCTGCCAGTCAGGCTGAGTAAAACTCATGGCGAGGTCCCTCAAGGACACTTGTTAGCGAGAAGGTGACAGTTCCTGATTTCCACATGGTGTTGCTGTGACTGGTCACTGAATTTCCATGCAGTACACTGTTTTCTGAGATTTTAGTTCTCCACACATCTACTATGGTTGTTTTTCTTCTCTTTCAACAGTTTAAATTTAAGACCCAATAATATTAAGAAAGACTAAAATTTAAACCTAAATAAAACCAACCAATCGTGGCACTACTGATAATACTTCATCCTTCTGAAAATTATTCTTTTGGAGGTTCTTTTCTTTCCTTTAATTCTATTTTGTTTTGGAAAAGAAGTTTGGAACGGAAATAAAATTGTACAAAGATCAACACCTAAAACTTATGTCCTTGATGAGTGTGATCCTAGAACTTAATCAGTAATACAGAAAAAATGTTTCTCACAAGACAGGTTTGCATCCTGTGTTACTTCATTTTAAGCGCTGATTCCACAGAGAAGTCGCTAATATTGTGGCACTGTCTGTGGTCCTGAACCTGCAGGCGGCATTTAAGCAGTTTTACTTAAATTCAAACTTTGCTTTATTATGGATAAATAATTTTCAATGAAATGAGTTAGGAAGATGCCATGTCTGAAACGTTTCTTTTTGGATTTAAATTGTTTTCCATTCCATATATAATTAGTATTGTAACTTGGTATTTTAAGCCATGATGACATTTTAAAAACAAATTACAGGAATCCCTATTAAACAATGGGTGAATGTACTTTGTGGATTTGGAATAGAATTGTTTCATTAGTTTTTAAATGCAATTATCATTTGATGAATAAAGCTTTCTGCCAAAGATAGTTTAGATAATTGAACTCCCCTCCCTAAACTTTGACAGTCAGATACAGGGGTTACTTATGCTGAGGAAAACTGCAAAATACTTCAGCATATTGAAATCATCCCAGCATTGCTGGAAGCAGAGTCAAACTCTAGTGCAGGCTAAGTGATGTCTTCAGTACTTCCAACATCTTGTAGACTAAAATTCATGCTCTCTTGTCTTTTATTTAGAATTTTAAAATCAAGTGTAACTATCAATTATTTCATATTGATAGCAATATTTAATTACTCTAAGATTCAAAAATGATCTGTCTCCCTAACCAACAGCATTCCTCTCCCTGCACAGAGCTTTTTAATGTGGAGCCGAAGGGAACATAGGCAAACACATCAGGAAATCTTATGTAGTGCTCATTGATAACTGATGTTTTAACTTGAAATTATCTTTGCATATGGAAGAGCATAGTGAGACTTTATGGTGGTTGGTCTGATCCACATAATACCAGGGGCTGTTTACTGAATACTCAGTCAGAGTGTTAGAAAAACAAATACAATTTAAGAACAAAAAATACATATTTGCTTTTTTACCCATTAGTTTGCTAATGATTTTAGTATTCAAAGGACTACTTCTAAAGTATTTTTATCATGTGAAGAGCTTTTAAGAGGTCACACATTCTTACACACTGCATTTGTACTGTAGTTTCATGTGGGGAACGTATTTTGTAGTGTGTGTTGGCACGGTGAGTGTGCAGGATTGCTAAATACCCTCAGAACAACGTACAACTGCAAACAGAGCACAGTAAATATGCCAGGTCCACCTAACTTCCTTACAAAGAGCAAATAGGAGCATTGAATCAGATTTTTCTCTTTCCAGTAATAATTTATAGTAAGATTAATGATGCTTTCTGAGGGGTTTTCCTAGGGACTATCCACTTTCTCCTTTCCTTTCACTGGAGCCAAGTCCTAGCTGCATGTGACTACTCATGATTGCTATACTACTGGGTCATTTGTATGAACTATTTCCTCAGGCCCAATCCATATCTATATATTTTTTTCCAACTTTGCTTTTTGACCATTCTTCTTCAAAGAGCAGGACGTTCTTTGGCAAGCCTGTGATGTTCCTTTGTCTAGAGTTCGTGGCCAGATTTCTCTGGACCTAAATGATGATTCAGGGAGGGACATGGCACTAGTTTGAAAATGCTGTAATTCAAGTTTGGTCTCTTCAAGTTTAGTCTCTCCAACTGAGGCTGATAGTCAAGCTATACCTGTGATCCCAGCCCTTCAGGAGGCTGAGTCAGAAAGATGGGAAGATCCAGCCTTGCTTGCATCAAAGTTTATAAATAAATAAATAAATAGATAAGGTTGTAGCTCAGTGTAAAGGTACTAGGTTCTGTAGCACACACACACACACACACACACACACACACACACACACACGCGTACGCGCACACACACAAAATCACATCCAAAGAAGACATTTAGACTTTCCTGCCTCACTTTTAAAAGACCTGAGATTATAGCTACAGTGAAAAAGACAGATGCATAACCTTATCAGAAAGCCAAGGCATTATGGAACAGGAAAAAGAAATAATTTGCAAAAAATACCTATGTACATAGAAAACAATCTCAAATTAATGAAGCATCACGCCTTTTAAAAAAATTTGATCCTGAGAAGTAGGAATAGTAAAAGTAAAGTGAAAAAAAGTTGAAGGATGCAGATTATTATATCCAACTAGCACACTGATATTTCTTAATGCTTCTAAGTCTTTGAAATAGCAGTGCCTACTAAACTTTTAATGCATAGCTGTGTGGTTTGTTCCTTAATATTAGGGTAAGACAAGTTTAACTTAAGTAATATGAGATTTATGACTGTACGTAATTTGAGATATATAAAACCTCAGTAGTCCTTCCTTAAATCCATAAACACACTGCAGTTAATCATGAATATGGTTTTTAAAAAATCTTTTACTCTTAATATTAAATGTTATCAATGTATTATTTATACTCATTAGAAAGCAGTTCTTTTCACTCTTGGTTTGCTGCTTACTATTTTCTTATTACTTTGTGGAAATATGAATAAGACAAGATTCATCAAGATAAAAGCTAGAGATTCTGAAGTTACAAAGAAAGAAGAATAAGGTTAGCATATAGACTCAGCAGAAAATGCTCTGATTTTCAGGTGTCAGGAAATATTACATTGCATTTTATGAATTGCTGTTTGTGTTTCTTACTTAGGTTGATATGTACACAAATGTATGTTTTCAGTTTACCTATGGATACTGCAGGCTAAAATGATGCATCTTTGCTAAATAACTCAGTGTATAACTTTTGAAACAT